AAAAAAAAAAAAAAAGAAACAAAGAAAAAAAAAGAAACAAAAGATCTGGTGGGGTGTGGTGGCTCATGCCTGTAATCCAAGCACTTTGGAAGCCAAGGCGGGCAGATCACCTGAGGTCGAGAGTTCAAGAGCAGCCTGACCAACATGGTGAAACCTTGTCTTAAAAAAAAACAAAATGAAAAAAAGAAACAAAAGATCTAAACTAAGGAGGCATGAGGACGGTGCAGAGGTTGTATACTATGATCATTTCAGAGACAGAATTGTAGGTTTTATTAACTAAGAAGATAAAGGGACGCAAATTAGTTATACAGGTTTTAATTCCAAACAACAGAATATCCAGGCTATTAATAATAAAATCATACTCAGGATTCATCCGGAAAAGAAATAACAAAAATAAATAAAATAAAATCAGTAAGTATTCTGGGCATGTTCAGTTTCAGTATTCAGGTAGGGGATTTTATTGGAAATATGGATCTAGAACTAATGGAAGAAGTTAAATTTAGGAGTCATTCACAAAGAGGCTTGAGAAACATGAAAATGTATTGAGAAGTACTTAGAAAACAATGTTAAGGGGGCTATGCATAGAGAATAACATTTGGAAGATAACTGAAGGAAATCACAGAAGCAAAATAGTACAATCTAATTTTTCTCCCGAACTGAAAGCAAAACCACTTTTAATACTATTGTAATAAGTATTATGACCTCTTCATGATACAATTTTTTCAATCCCAACAATTATCATCACAACCCAAAGCCATCTCATGACGACAGCTTTCTAAACACTAATTGCCGGAACACTGAAGAAAATTAATATGATACTAAGGTGTAACTTATTTCTCTGTAATTAAAAAAAGGGAGGCTTTCTGTTCTTAAAATATTCAAACTAGAAAGGACAATTTTAACTGAAGCTGTTCTCACAACCCTGTTTTTCAGCTATTGTAAGTTTGTTAATGGACAAACATGGTCATAACTGAAATTGTTAAATTATGTAAAAGTATAATTCTGTAACCTGAAGAACATCTGATGCCTTTTTCCTAGTCTTTTCAATGCTTAGTTCTTATTATATGTAAGTAAAATCATTTATCGAAGGCTTACTAAATACCGAACCCTGTATTAAAACACTTTATTATCTTGTCCTTCCAAACATCCTGACACTCAGAAGTTCAGTGATCTGCACAGAGTCATAGCTAGAATTTAAAACCTGCTACTTACATCTCAGGTATGACTCCAAAGCCCGATCTTCACTATAAAACTGCAATATCTGCCTCCCCTCTTCCCCACTTTGCATAGTTTCAGCATCTCCCAGAACATTAACAGTAATAATTTATTGGCAACTTGACCTCTTATTGTATACATACAACATGATTTATTTTCCTATTTACCTAGTACTAGCCAAATGTGCATGTATATTGATATTATGAACAAACCTGTGATTAACATCTTTGTATCAAGATCTGCCTCTACTTTGAACAGTTTCCTCATTGCCAATAGTTATTATTATTATTTTTTTTTTTGAGTCGGAGTTTCGCTCTTGTTACCCAGGCTGGAGTGCAATGGCGCGATCTCAGCTCACCACAACCTCCGCCTCCTGGGTTCAGGCAATTCTCCTGCCTCAGCCTCCTGAGTAGCTGGGATTACAGGCACGTGCCACCATGCCCAGCTNTGAGTAGCTGGGATTACAGGCACGTGCCACCATGCCCAGCTGATTGTTTGTATTTTTAGTAGAGATGGGGTTTCACCATGTTGACCAGGATGGTCTTGATCTCTTGACCTCATGATCCACCCGCCTCGGCCTCCCAAAGTGCTGGGATTACAGGCGTGAGCCACCGCACCCGGCGCCAATAGTTATTTTTAAATAAACAGGTAAATTGACACATACACGTAACACACCCAAAACTGGCAAGTAGCAGACAAGTGCTCTTCTAATTTCAGTTTCTTAGCTTTCATGTAGAATGAACAATTACAATAATAAAGGCTGAAAGAAAACAAAGGTATTATTGAAATACAACAGGGACAATCTAAAGCAACATGAAAAAGCAAGTTAATGCTGCTCAACATTAGCAGGCAAGGGAAATAGGGGAAAAAACTACACAAAAGTGGCTATCACAGAAAAGCCAGCTTATTACTTTAGGTTTTGTGGGAGACTACAGGTCACATAAAAGCAGTCTCAACAATAATGTGACCACATATGCAATCAACATTTACAAAATGAAATTAGATATAATGTATAATACAAATATTTTTGCCTATACTTTAATTTCCGAAGCATGGAATTCACTTAGAGAATGACTGAAATGTACATAAACATTCTTTTATGATAGACTAGAACATCTACATTATCATGACTTAGAAAAAGAAAACAGATGCAAAATAGTGTTGAGACTTTCTTGCCTGAAATTACAAGACTAAGTGTGTGTATGTGTGTGTGTGCACGCTCGTGTGCACATATATTTAAATCCTTTTATTCTCATTTGATCCTTTTGGCTGAACTTTATTCATATATTATCTGCCCTTCTTCTTTTAGCCACTCTCATGAAAGGCATCATTATTCAGTCATCGAAGCCAAGACTCCTTCACCAGCCCCCAACCTCTAGACATCAAGTGTTAACAAGATATCTTCCTAAATTTATCTGGAATTGAGCTCTTCTCTGTTAGAGTTTCCTTTCCAAGTCTATTTCTTCATAAATCTGGCATGTGAGATTTTAATTGGTCTGCCACAGTTTTCTCTTCATCAGTCAATGGTGACAGCTAGAAAATAAACAATAACATCTTTATTTCGAAAATCTTCAAAGACTGTTAAATCAGTTTACTTAACTTCTGCATTGTCACACTAATAAATGTTTCCATAAGCTTATACTTTGTATGTAATCACAGATTTAGAAAGACAAGGGAAAAAACAGTATTTGGCTATTTATATACAGGTCCTATGATATTTGAGCTTCTAAAGAACTTGCAATTAAGTTGAAGAAACAAGACCAAGAAATCAAACAATTTAAGGATTATAGCAGAACCAAAGAAGTCATGTTTGGATGCCATATTCTAAAAGTACGGTTGGCTGGGTGTGGTGGCTCACGCCTGTAATCCCAGCACTTTGGGAGGCCAAGGCAGGTGGATCACGAGGTCAAGAGATGGAGACCATCCTGGCCAACATGGTGAAACCCATAAAAATGCAAAATT